GGGTCCAGTCCGTCCGGAAAGTATTTGGTGGCCCTCAGTGGGATTCCCGGATCAATCTGCAACCAGTCATGGAACTCGAGCTTGAAGTCTTTTTGGGGGAGTCTATGCCACGTCTGGGCCATTCCACATGTGTCATCCAGCCCTCATTCCCCCCCCCCCAAGCCAGTCGGAGCAGAATTTGTTGAGTTCGTTTGTAATATTTTTCTTGAAGTTTCTTCTGAGTAAGGAGTTGCATTTTTCCTGTGTTTTTTTTTTTCCCCATTGGGCGAGCAGCTCTGTGTGGATAAATTAGCGTATGGCTTCCGTTACCTCTGGCCCATCCACCTTAAAGCTTACTCCTTCCACAGCATGCATGCATCTCGTCCACCACAGTCCCCAGAGAATTGCTCTCCTGCCGATTGAAATGAGGTTCAAATCACCTGCTGCGCCTGGACAGCTCCACCCTCCATAGACCCCTTGATGTGGTTGGAGGATCAATATTGGAAATTGCCCCGCAAGACAAGGAGGGGGCCTAGGAGGGACCAGGAGGAGGACAGCTTCTGGAGCCGTCTGATGAGGATCTGGAGGCAGCTGTTCCCACCAAGCAAACAGGCACCTGAAAGGTGGGAGGAAATAGCGGGACGGACCATCTTCCGAAACACCTGGATCAGGGACACCCGTAGCCAGATCTTCTGCAGCACCAACTCCCCTTGGAGGGGGTGGGTTGAAAATGGAGTCACACAGGTAGGGGACCTGTGGGATTCGGGAGCAGGGGAGTGGGTAAACTGCCACCGTAACAAGGCGGCCCTCGACGAGCTGATTGAAGTCTTCCCCTTAGCATGTTTGCCTACTCTCCGCAGTTGCAGGAAGTGGACTGGGTGGCCCAGGAAGTGAGATCAGGCTGGGTAGGGAGGGTGCACATTACACGACCAGAGGATGCCCTGGTGGAGACTTTTGAGCTGGGGAGGAAGGGGCGGCTGATGGGAATCCGGGCTCCCTTTGAAGGCTGTTGGGCCTCCAGGCCAGAAGTTCCACTGTCCAAGCTTCCCTTAGACCCGTTTGAATGGGAATAGAACCCCCAAGGGGCTGAGAATCACCCAACCCAAACCTTAACATCCCTCTAAGCTGAAGGTCAAAGCAGCTGAGAACAAAGCAGAATTTGCGGGATACAGTAGTTGACTGGCGGGAATGCCACCTCAAGTTGGATATTAAGACTCTTAAGTCCATCCGCTGGTTCCAGGACATCAAGTGCAGGCCAGCCAAAATCTCCTCTCTGCAGTGGCAGATTGCGCACCGCTGTCTACCCACCAACAACTGGATTATTGACATACCCAGCTGAAACAGCAAGGCAGGGCCTTGCCGTGGTGCCAAAGGTGTCTGGAAAGTTTCCCTGCATGAAAGAGAGCAGAAACAATTAAATATTTTCTGCAATGTCCGTCCTCTATCCTGACATGGACATGATGGGACAGAATTTAGAGGCAGATGGTCCCGGACCAGCCGTGGCCAACGAGTTGGCGGGTGATCCTGGCGGGGTACAAGCCTGGCATGCAATTTGGATTCTTTTGTGGGGAACATGTTCCATCTGGGGAGGAGAACAATCCTACGGGTTTTATGGTGGCAACGGTGTGCGTTGGCGCTGGAAGGGGATAGGGTGGAAGGGGAGGAGAGGATAGAGAAGATCAAGACCCACCTGGAGTTGAAGCTCACATGGAAATGGAAGAGGACGAAGCAGGTCCTAGATCAATTACATACAAGGAAGGACATTGAGACACAGATAACACGCTTCAGCAGGGACTGGTTGGGAGGGGACTGCGGAGGATGGATGGCACAGGTGATTCAAGGTCACATGGGCGGGAGATGGGGTAAGAGTAGATCAGAGTGACGGGGACATCATTAGAGCACAAGTGGCCCAGGATTATCCCCTTGTCTTCAGTGACTGGGCAGCGGTCGACCCCAGCCTTCCCATGAGACTGGCAGTGGATGTTCCAGATTTGTGGGGAAGCCCTCCTGGCCGGATTTGCACCAGGGCAGGGCAAGGCCCTTGTCTTCCAGCTGGGTGTGGTTGATCAGCCAGTCATTTGTAGGTAGGCAGTGGTGAACAATTTGCCAGTACGGAGGCAAAGTTGGCTGGTCATTCCTTAGCTCCTCTGATTCTCTGAACCACAGGGGTTGTCCCTGCTGACATTGAGGTGCCTTGCCCAACTATCTTTGACTATGGCCTGCACGTCTACTCTAGGTCTTAACAGGCCATAGGTTGCTTTGACTGTCAGTGTTAGGAGTTTGTGTGCATGTGACGAACTACTTCCCGACCCCGTGCTATCTTTCGTACCCCCTTGGCCCAATACCCCCTTGTGTACCATACCGACCCCACAGAACCCTCGTCGCTTTTCTTGATTTCAGGCGTCTTGTTTGAGCCCCCATTTTTCTGAAGAATCTATTGATTTTTGGAACTCTGCCTTTTTGCAATTCAGGAAATGCACAGGAAATTTCGCGCGCCTTAGCGAGCGCACTGGGAATCGGGCTCGACAGTTAGGAATTACGGAATAAGCGGAGCCCGACGTATCCTTTTCCTTGGATGAATGTTCTCGGTCACGTCGAAGAAAACTCTAGGAATTTTCTGAGAATACGGATAGGCATAGGACTTTCTTTTCCCGCGTCGACTTTCGCGCGCGGATATGGTGATTTCAATTTTTGAATTAGTGTAGGATATAGGCAAGCTGTAATTGTTTCGGTGCCCTTTTCTCTTGCTGTCGGCACCACGCATGCGAGCATCCTCCTCCTTATTTCCCGCGCCATCCCTCCCCCGCACTCTCCTCTCTCCCTTCCCCCTCTTCTCCTTCTCCTATTGCAACTGTTTTTCCCTCTCTGCTTTTTGCGCGCCTGCTTCCCTTTCTTGATCGTCTGAATCTTGGACCCGTCTCGCGCTGCTTTTCGCGCTTCGTCTCTTCCCGCTCATCGACCTTGGCTCACGAAGCCTGGTTGATCCTCTGATCACCCCGGCTCACCAATCAGACGCGTTGAGTAAGAGGATCTTCCTATTGCGCGACGAATCTGATTGGCCGACCATTGGGCTTTGAAGGATCAACATGGTTTCCGCAGCGCGCTCCCCGTTAAGCCTCCTCCTCCTGCCTCTTCTCTTACACCTCGACTTTCCCCCTGCCTTCTCCCTCCCTTATCCTCCTCGCAACTATAAATTCCGCAAGCGCGTCCGCAAAACTCTCTTACGTTCTCGACTCCCAAGCCAGCTTCCGAGAAGCAGTGGCTAGGTGAAGCGTTTGGTGCGAATCGGAAAGTCCTATCGAGTTGATGATAGGCTGGCCGGTTGCGCGCTTGATCGCCACGACGGACTGTGGGATCTGGGCGAACCGCGTCGAGATTGCGTCAGCGGGATGACGATCGCAGCGGCGGAAGTTGGCACGCGACGGCCGGGACCGTCGGTGCGGGTACGAGGATCGGTGATTGGAGTTGAGTGAGTGGCCCGGGGCCATACTGGAAATTCACGGCGAAAGCGCCTTTGTTGTTGCGGATCTTTATCCTTTGGTGTGAGTGCACGGCTGCAATGCCGAATGTCCTCTTCCGGATTTCCGTATCTCCTATCTCGACATTTCTCTATCTCTCTCTCTGAGTTGAATGACGTTGTGTCATGAGTTTGTCATCCCCGTGAATAAGAATGACTCTGTGTGCTTTCCCGTGCGAATGAACTTCTTCCGGAACCCTTCCATTAGTTTCCTGGGTAATCCCGAGATATCGAGGAATTGATCCTCTTGTCTTGTGAATGGTGAATGCGTGTGTATAGTTTTCTCGGTTGATTTCTGACCTGTGCACCCCTGGTCATTTTCGCACCTTCCAGAGTGGATGTATGTATGTGGATGCTCGTCTTTTTGCATTGATTAGACTCGACGCTCGATAGGATTTTGTTCGAGAATGCAAGAATGTTTAGATCTGCCGATTTGAATGTACTGCGCATGTCATCTGCCTTATGTTGCACGACATCTGCAACCTCTCTACACGGCAGCCTTGAAAAATAAGGCGCCTCGGATCAACGCCGCGTTGGCTTACTAAACTTGAGTCGCGGGTCGGTCCCTTGGTCAGGTGCATGATCAATCTGATGAGTGGTCTCTCTCTCGTATCGAAAAGAGTTGATTGGTTGTTGTGCAGGTGTTGTTGTTTTTTTTCTTGCTGACGTCTCGGGATTTTTGCAATTGATTGATATGTGGACTTACGAACGCCCTTCGATCGGGCGTCAGCCTCCCGTATCTCCTGTGCCGACGCGACCTTTTCCTTACGACGAGGAAAGGACACGTGTATGCGAGTGGGACGTACGAGAAGTTGTCGCACGGATCGGCGGACGGTACTACTTCCCTCCTGAAAATCGTTGCTTAGGATTCCTAGACGCTGGATTTGTCATTATCGATACTCATTTTCCGCCTTACTTGGTATTATTGCCCTTTAACGAGCTGATCGTCATTCCGTGGACAGCAGTGGAACCCCACTGGCCTCGCACCCTGTGCACTGAGTGTCGGCGTTTCGAGCGCTACGAATCCAAGGGCTTTCACTACCAAACACGGAACGACAACGAACATAGAGAAAGAGCCACACGACTGTGACCCTCCACGTCGGACTCAGATTTGATCAGTGAGCGACGCCGTGACTTAATACGCAAACGAGACACGCGAAGCGTGCCGAAGCCTTTTTGCTATAAACGAAGGGCCGTAGAACGGTGGGAAGTACGACAGTACTTTTTGGATTAAATTTTGTATTCCTCTCTCTTTTTCGCGCCGAATTTGTGCGCGCATTCTGCAATGCGCGAAAAGCGACCAACTCACTTTATCGGACCGTCACAAGGGATTTCAGTTTTTTCTGTGTCCCCACACTCAATTTCCAAAAATCCTTGGCACACTCCATCTTGCTGTTTTTATGGGCATCTTTTCCGCACACTTAGCACTCCGAACGGAAGACAGCACGGGGCGTGAGGTTGGTATCGGAGCCGACACGTGTCGGTTCTGACAATAGTGAGACGAGCTGGCGAGAGGAAGAGCCGCTAAACAACCTAACCGCCTCAGTCCGCCGGTCAATAGGCAAAGATCTATCGAAGCCCGACCGGAGATGCCTATGGGTGAAGCCAATGGAGCACCTCTGCGGATGATGGTCAGTATCCTCGCCACTTTTCCCTTCTAATCTAACTACACTCACCCCGAGGCATGGCTTGAAGCCGTGCAAGTGCAAGGCTATGGCGCCGAGGACCTTCCTTGCGTCCTCACCTTGCTGCTTCGAAACACTTCGCACGATTGGTTTAGAAGACACAGGTGGGTAGATTGGGATACCTTCAAACGAGCGTTCTTAGCACGGTTTGGCGCGGTCAGTGAAGATGCTGCCTGGTTCGTACTAAAAACCCGTCCACAAGAACCTGGGGAATTACTACCCGATTTTGTAGATCGATTTCATACCGCCTTAGACAAGTCGGGACGGGAAGAGAACGCGGCTCGAGATTTGTTCATCGATCACCTTCGTAATCCCGAGCTGAAAGTGAAACTGCAGAAAAAGGTCCCTCCCAAGACCAACCAGCTGTCAGTCATCATAGCCAAAGCCCTCGAGTTGGATCTGTTGGATACACGTAAATACATCCGACAGGGAGAGGAAGACATCTCGGATACAATCCAAGATGTGGCGGCCAAGAAGCGATCCTAACTCAGAGCGGTAGAACCATTCTACCCCTGACCAGATCATGATTACCAGGACGGCCCCATCCCGTAGCCTTCCTCGTCTCACCCCCTACTCTCAAAACCGCCTCCCCCTCCGAAGATCGCACCCGTAAACACAGTCATGACTCAAGAAACCGCCTCGGTCCCCATCACCAATCTGCATTTATCTCAGATGATCCACACTGCCACGACTAAACAGTCCAAATAGATGAATAACCTGTTGCAAATGCAGGCCTCTCAAATGGATCGACTAGAACAGATCATGACCAAATTGGTAAAGGTTAATTCTGACCCTTCTCGCCCTGTTCCAGCTCAGTACCCGTTGCTTACGGCTCCTCCCGCGGGTGGACCAGTTCACTCCGCCACCCCTCTTCAAATAGCTAATCCAGCAGAAAGAATCGAATGCTATAACTTCAAGCAACCAGGGCATTTCGCTCGAGAATGCCCTCAGCCGAAACGCAATCAGCCGCCTCCCACGGTTGCGCCCGTAGCTTTGAACCAGGGACAAATGGCCACGGTATTAGAACAAGCAAGGGAGGCTTCCCCATTCATCACTGATCAGCCCCTTTCGGGTGATCAAGGCGCATCCACGTCAGAAGCCTCTGAAGCCACAGATGTCGTCGATCCCACCGAGTACCTTCAATTGGCTGGTCTGATCGGAGTGATTCGACCTGCCAAAGAAGAACTTGATTGGGTCGAACGAACATCGGAACTAGGACCTCAGTTTCAGACAGGAGAAATCGATCTCCTACAGACACTCAAACAGTTAGATATTCGAGTGCCAATCCCTGTAGGACATTTGCTGACTATATCCGAGGCCGCGAATGACAAGCTTCTACAACAGTGTCAGAAGAATCAGAAGCGCTTCACCTATCAACGCGTTCAGCGTATGCTGAAAAAGAAGCAAGAAGACGAAAACGAAGCTAATCCGCCCCAAGTAATCACCACAAACGCACCTGAACCGGCCCGAATCGCAGCTATCTCCTATGCTGATAAAAATCACTTTGTACGAGTGCGATCGGTCCTATGGAAAAGCGCGGAATGCGATTGTGAAGTCTGGGGAAAACCTTTTGATGCACTGATTTATACCGGATCGTCGGCAGTCGCCATCTCCTTGAACACAGTCCGAAAAACTGGACGATTGAACTCTATCCTTCCTCTACCCGGGAGGGATAACTACGTCTCGGCCGATGAGGAAGCCATGAATATCGTGGGAATCATCGAGAATGTCGCGATCAAGGTAGGTCGATTGCATGTATTGGTAAATGCGTTGGTCATTGACCTACATTCCTACTCAATATTGTTAGGATTACCCTGGGCGATGGCAGTAGGGGCTCGAGTCCATTTCGATTCGAGACAACTCATCCTCACTCAAACGGGAGGGAAACCCCAGACGCTCCCTCTCCGAATCTCCACCCGATCCCCACGGAAATATCCCGATATTGATCGGATAGGGATGATCCAAAATATTGAGAAATCCCCCTCGAACTCGGATTACCTTGTGCGGGAAGACGAGTTCAATGAGCACGAGTACGAGGAAGAACTGAGCGTAATGCCCAGCCACGAAGAGTGGAAGCAGTTAGTCGAAATGTTCAATTGTGAAACGAAAGAGGAATTTCAGATGATTTCTGCAACAACTCGAACGTTCGATCTAAGTTCGGGTAACAGCGACTTTAGTTGTCCCTTGCCTACGGAAAATCAGACTCTCCCTACAACCTTTTTGGGAGAACCGATCTTGCAAATTTTCGACATGGCCGATCTTTTGGAACCCCCTCGCACATTGTACGAAGGCACATTGTCCCTCCGAGCGAGGTATCAGCAGATGAGCCAATACTTGGATCTCTCTGTCTCCCCTCCCCGATCACTACTCACGCAAGGAGCCGTGATCGCCCTGATCAAAGAAAAGGCGGAAGCCCCGATCACCGACGTTCCGGATCTCATGTAGGAAATGACAGAATTAACGGGAGTCATGATAGCCAGAAGCACCGATGACCCTGAGACCGACGATGAAATTAAAGAAACCGAAGTGATCACTCCAGGAGAATCACAGATGATCGCTACCATCTTTTCGGTCCAAACTAGCAGTTCCATGTTTTCCAGCTTCCACAACAGGCGATCGCGAAGATTGGAATGGATTGACACGCCTCTGAGCTCGAAAAATAATACGATAATCGCCATTCCCAATCATGTCCCCAAGGATGTCCGAGAATCCCTTATTAACGTATTGAATGGCTATGCTAACGTATTGAGTATGGATGACATCGATATCGGGTTATCTACTCTAATTGAGCACGTGATCCTTATAGGGGATCATCCACCCATTAGTTGCGCTCCATACCAATACTCACCGGCGCAGAGAGCCGCCATGTTCAAAAGAATCAAGGAATTGGAAGCTAATGGTTGGATTGAGCCCGCTATCGGACCATGGTCGTTTCCATTAGTGATTGTGCCAAAGAAAGCAGGAGGAATTCGCATCTGTATTGATTACCGAAAACTGAACGATATCACCATTAAAGATGTGTTTCCTCTTCCCTCGATTGATGAATTGTTGGATGTTATTGGTGGCGCTCGATTCTTTAGCAAATTTGATATTCGACATGGATTCCACCATCTTCTGGTTCGAAAAGAATACGGCCCGAAAATGACATTCATTCTTTTCGAAGGAACTTGACAATGGGTCAGATGTCCGATGGGGATTTGCAATGCCCCAGCCACGTTTCAGCGCGCGATGAATATGGCCTTCCAGAATTTCGTGCGAAAAACGCGGTTGGCGCAAAGCATAATCAATTATTGTGTGATTGTGTATATGGATGATATCATTGTGTTTTTACTTCTTATGAGGGACACGTGCAGCACATTGCATGGGCACTAGACGCACTCAAGGATGCAGGGTTCAAGGTGGCGGTTAAAAAATGCCAGTTTTTTCTCACGGAGATCTCCTTCCTCGGCCACATTGTCACGACTCACGAGCCAGGGGTTGCAGCCAGATCCCCAGAAGGTGACAGCGGTGAAATACGCGTCGTACCAACCTCCATAACGCAGGTCCGCGTTGTTTTGGGCTTGGCGTCGTACTATCGAAGGTTCCTCAAGGGATTTGCAGCAATCGCGAGACCACTCACGAATCTACTAAAAAGGATCAACCGTTGATGTGGACCCCACAGTGCGATCGGGCTTTCGGAGAACTCAAGGCGGCCCTAATTTCGGCCCCAGTTCTCATAAGGCTGAACCCAGGAAAGCCCTTTGTTCTCATAACCGATTGGCAGCTGGAGGCGATTTCCGCAATCTTGGCTCAGGTGGGACCCGACCTCGAACACGTGGTGGAATACGCATCTAAGACGGTGCCGACCTGCAAGCACAACTACGCGGCCCCGACGGGAGAATGTTACGCAGCCTTATGGGGGATCAGCCACTTCCGAGCATATATGTACGGTCGAAAATTTACATTGGTAACCGATCACGAGCCGCTGTTGGCACTGAAGAAATCCAAGGATTACTCGGCCATGATCGGACGATGGGCCACCATCCTGCAGAGCATGGACTTTGACATCCGTCATCGGAAGCACGAGAGGCACGGGAATGCTGACGGGTTCACACGACTGCACAGACCTGAGAAGGTCCTCAAGAGCGAAGAAGTGATTCCGTGGAACGAGCCGCAGAAGGAAAAAGGACCGCGGTACGGACAGGTGGAAATTTTGTCAAAAGAGTGAGTGATACGTAGCCTCGCTCTGACCTCTCTGCAGCCCTGATCACTTTCTCTTCCCCTTCTCTCATAATGGCTACCCCACCTGTCTCGGCGACCCCTTCTTCCCCTGCTGATTTCGGCCCTCTCGCCAGCTCAACCTTCTTTGCCACCTTTCCCGACAGATTCTGCTATTTTTGCACGTGTATCACACGGGTATACGGGGTGAATTGTCATCCTTTTGAGACCGAATTCGTTGAGTGGGTAAATTGTGCCACGTGTGTCAATCGTGCACACGGTGCATGTGTTCGATATCGAACAAAAAGTAGGGAATGGAAATGCCCTCTGTGTAGGACGGACAAACTACCTACTGAGATTCAATTCGAGGTTGCCCGTACGGACGGCCTTGAATACGACGAAAAATACCAACGAGCGGAGGAGGTCTGGACGGATAAAATCCTATTGGCTAAGCTGGCTGGGTTACCCTTGGACCATCTCACTAAGCACAACAGACGTCGGGCTATCGAGAGATCTCGGGATTATCCATGGATCAACGGTCACCTAGAAAAATGTAAAACTGACGGATCGGGACTATGGTTGACGGTTCCTCATCCTTTTCAAAGATGTGACTGGACTAGGTCCGCGCACGAGGAACAGGCCGCTCATTTCGCGATACGCGCAACCGAGGCAACTATCGATCAAAATCAATGGTTCTGGTCTAATATCCGCGATGATGTAAAGCACGTGGTCGCTAACTGTCTAGTCTGTGTTGCCGACTGTGCACCCCTTTGAGGGCCGAATACGATAGTTCCAACGGAGGTAGAACGGCCCTTTCAACGGGTCAGTATGGATACGACTGACATAGACGTGCCACCTGGCCCCAACCGTTGCGAATACTCCATCCTCTTGGTATTGATCGATCATTTCTCAAAGTATATTGAAGTCTACCCATGTAGAACCCGAAAGGCCGCAGAAATAGCCGCATACATCGATCGGTTTTTCTATACTCACCTAGATACGGAAGAAATTCTTACCGACAATGGGTCCGAGTTCAAAGGGGAGGTAGAGGAATAACTCGCACGAAGAGGCATTACGCTTCGACATACGGCACCCCACGTTTCCCAGTCCAACGGGTTGGCCGAAAATGCCAATCGAATGATTAAGACTGCCCTCAGAAGAAATCTAGCGGCGCGTGACACGCGTCCCTGGCCCGAGATCGTATATCTGATCGTCGGAATTCACCGGGCCACCCCCCATGAATCCACGGGGTTCACCCCCTTCCTGCTTCGAACCAATAGCCTCCCATGGGTCGATTACCAGGGCAACTCGGAAATTGCCGAAGCAGGGGGTAGAGACACGCGTGCCACCCTTCAGGCCAAGGCCAAAAGGTATGCCGATTTAATGGAGAAGGTCGTGCCTAAATTGGCTCGGGAAAGACAGAAAATGACCGAACTGACCCACAGTAGACAGGTCCGTAGCTACGAGGCTTGCAATGGAAATGCGGGTCCAGAGCACCAATATAAGTGAGGGGACCTGGTGCAAGTACGCAAATGTGCAGGCGACCGTATACTCGCTCCCAAGTTTTCCGGTTGTTTCCGCGTCGTCAAACTCGGTCCCAACGGTGCCAACACGGTGAGCATCGCGCCCGGGGGAAGCGCCAACCATAGCTTTGTCCCCATCGTCCGCCATACCTCTTATATCCGTCTCCTCCCTCCCTCCAACATCCCTCCATCTCCCTCGTCCGTTGAAGGAGAGGACGCAGACGATCTAGCTCCCGCTCCGCTCTCTCCTTCCTGCTCCCCTGCTTCATCTTCTTCCCCGTCCTCGCCATGAGTTTCATCACGGAGCGAGCTCTTGGCGATCATCTGCTGCAGCCACGTGGCTAAGTCTCCGAGATCCGGCAAGTTCGTCATCCGCGGCTCAGCTATGTAACACCCGCGGCGGTGGACAGGCGCGGCCAAGTCCGCGGCCGCGGCCAGTCCGCGAAGCCCGCGGACGTGTGCTCGCGGACGCGCGGATTCGCAGACACGTGGCGGCCGCAGGGGAGGAGATTTCGCGATTCTTGCGGCACCACGTGGCAGCGCATCCCCTGCCCCACCCCCCAACACAAAAAAAAAAAGGAAAAGATGAACTTTTGGTGGGGGGGGGGTATGGGCAAAATCCAA